TTTTTATACCACAAAGCACCAAGCAAGCATTACTATGCATAAGCTTGCTATGTTCTCGAAGACTAAGCAAGACTAAGTCACAACAACAATAAGCACATTGTTCAATTCGTTTACAGCCTAGCAATGATGTCTCTCCGCAGCGTGCTCGCAATTGTTTGTTGTTTTTCTGTCGTAACTGTACAACCTGAAACTATTTCGAACTGTGACAACGGTGTTTGCCGTTCTGATGAATCAGGAAGTAGCAGCAGCAGCAGCAGTAGCAGCGAGTCATCGTCGAGATCTTCATCAGAGACATCAGAGAAAGAAATGTTAATCGAGTCGAATGGTATGCGTTCGGTGATCAGCGGTATTTTGCAACGTTCAAAACGTGCTATGATGGCGTGGCGTTCCGGATCTGACACCAACACTGGCCTAGTGGAGAACTTACAAAGTATGTGTGTGTTGCTGTTTGCAATTTTTTTTTCTTGAAAATGGAACATAATATTCAACGTTTGATTTAACGTTTTTCTTTTTAAAAAATTTGTAAGAGCAAAATAAATTTCACAAATGAACCAGCGGAAATAAGCGCTACCTCGGTCAATCCCTAGGATACTTATCTTAATCAATTGATTCGAATTTGAGTGTTGAATCGAATCATTCACGTGTTCAAATTTTTGTTTCAATCAAAATTTTCCCATGAATACCTCACTTTCAATGAGAACGCTTCACTGATATCATCAATTGCCATAACAACAGTAGCAACGAAATCAACCAAATTGTTGGAATATTTATTGATCCGAGCATTCGTATTTCGATTGAAAGCGTCAGTTCCTTGAAGATCTCCCTGAAACTGCAGCTAAAGCACTTCATATCATTATAATTGTTTAAAAATGCAAATTTTCTCCGACTGTCTTTGGATGCCAGCTGTAAGGTGGAACAATGAGAAATCATTGATTTACTCGTTGTTCATTAGGCTCGATTTAGGGCATCAGTTATGCTATTTATTTATTCATGTATTTAATCAGCAATCCAACTCATTACGAGTTTATGCCTCTCTGTTATTACTAATATCACTCATATCACCATATCACCACTATAACATTCTTCCTTCCTTGGCATTCTCCTTTCCCCGCAGCTAACGATAAATAGTGTTGGGAATCATCTGTCTTCATGAAATTCGAACTTGGATTATTGATCTGGCAAGCACAAAGGTTTTGGGCTACTCTCCCATATTGCCCAATGAATTCTAGGGAGAGGGACTCAAAAGTAGCCCGCAAATACATTCCGATTGATCGATTGAACTGATGGGATTATAATGCAGTGATCATTGATACCTTTCAGATAATGCGATATTCAAGGATGATCGAGTTAAAAAAGCGATGCTCGAGGTAGATCGAGGTGACTTTGCACCGCAAACACCGTACGGTGATCATCCAGTAGGGATTGGCTATGCGGCAACGATCAGCGCTCCTCACATGGTGATTGCTCAGTTCACGCTTGAATAAAACCACCACCAATTGATGTAGTCAGTGTTATTCAGCCTAACTTTGGATTCTCAAGCAAAAATATCAAAATAGTCGAGCCAAATAGTCGCTTAGGACTTTCAAATCAAAAACATGCAGGCGACCAAAGTTTATTCAGGAATAAAATTCAAAGTTTCAGTCCATTTTTATCTTTTGAACAGTGCAGGAAGATTTTTCATGTTGCAAGAAGCTTATTATTATAATTTTCATGATTATTATCAAGAACTAAAAATCATATTGAAACTGTTCTCTCAACTTAACGGAATTCGTTTCAGTAAAGTTATCAAGCATCAAACATTACCTTTGAAACTGCATTAAATTTTTTCACTGAACATGTGGTATTTTTGGACCAATTCTGAAGGCGTATTAAAAATAAACCAATTCCAGCATGCCACCGCACTTGAACTGTTGAAAGATCATTTAAAAGAGGGCGATAAGGCGTTGGATGTTGGTTCAGGGTCCGGATATCTAACCGCGTGTATGGCAATCATGGTTGGTGTCCAAAACCATCTATATCTAACCACAAATCATTTTCATGGTCATTTAGATAACTTCATATCTGAAGTAATTATGACAACCACTTATGAAGGTTTTATCAATAGATGCATCGACTTGACTTGAATACTTCACAGTACATGTCAAACATTTGCTTGGTATACTTTATAGGTAACCGAACCATTCATCAGAAAATTTCACAGTTTACAGTTCTGAGCTGAAACTGTCAGCATATACTTGAGAATTTGGTTTTGTATGCTCAAAAGTTTCCTTAAACGAGCTCAGAACGTCCTTTCATGTGAAGTAGAAGTTGTATGTTTAAACGGAATGTGTTGATTCTTTTAGTCGGCCATTCTCTTTCCATACGACTACTGATCCCAATATGTATTCTCATATTATTCCGCCGCTTATGAATGTTTCACCACATTGGTCTGTGCACGGTATGATATGGCCAAGACTGAATCATATTATCCGGTATTACCTTTCAAATGAATTGCTCTACTGCAGGTGGGTAAAACGGGAAAAGCGATTGGCATCGAGCATATCGGTGAATTGGTGAATGATTCGATAAAGAACGTCGAAAAGCATCATGCAGATCTGATATCGTCGGGAAGAGTTCTGCTGATCGAGGGGGACGGTCGTGAGGGTTACCAACCGGAGGCACCCTATAAAGCCATACATGTCGGTGCTGCCGCACCAAAGATCCCTCCTAAGGTAAGGTAGAGCTGCCTGATATTTGCGTATGGTCCACATCGAGAACCCTGTTTTCCGACGAACACTACTCAGAAGCCTTCTGAATCGTTTCTTCTCAGTAATGTTCAATATTTTTTACAATAATTTATCTGCAAGCAATCGGTTTGCAGCTTCTCGAACAGCTGGCACCTGGTGGACGTATGGTGATTCCGGTTGGTCGGGAAGGTGGCCATCAACGTTTTATGCAGATCGATAAAACCAGTGATGGCCAAGTGGTAACAACTGATCTTATGGGAGTGATATACGTACCGCTCACCGATAAACATCGGCAGATATGACTAGAAGGTGTTTCTTCGAACTCAGACACCCATAGAAACACTCGACTGGTCGTTTACAAATATGTATTTATTACGCTCATTTTTTTGATTGTATCTACTTATTCCGTGACAATGTGATCAGTCAGCTGAAATGTATTCATAGCGTTCTTTTTCTTCTTTTCATTGATTTTATGCACAAAGATTTTCAAGCGTCCAATAAATCAGCCATCAATTTTTATTAGAGTTAAAGAAGCACGTTAGCTGCTCTCGAACGTTCATTTTTTTCAGACACGAATGAGTTGTGTTTCGTTTGCAATATTCAAATTATCAAGTCACTATTCTTCTAGAGTTACTTTTTAAGAAATTTATATTGTATGCGAAAATCTTTGTGTGACTTGCCAACATTGTATGATATTTGATTTTTGCGGGTAGCCCAAGAAATGTTGTTTGTGATTGGAGTGTTTTGAGTGTTCTTCTTGCAATATTATATATTTTGTCACTTATTTGTTTGTCTTTTTCACATATTTGTTCAAGTGAACATTTTTTTCACATAATTTGTTCAAGTGTAGTGATTTCTTGAAAAGAATGAACATTTTGCATGAATGTCTGGTGCCTGTCTGAAGGAAACTGTTTGGTAGTAAATCAGAACAGCAGCATACGACAAGTACTCACATAGCGTGATGTGATACTTAACAGTGACAAGTTAGCC